TCTGAAGATGTACAGTAAATAACTATTTCATCAGAACTCATTATTTCGCAAACTATTTCAACAGCTTATTTCATAGACAGCACTATAAAACGAATAAAACCTGATCATGATACTGACGTAAGGCTGCACAACGCACATCTAATATAATGACGTCGGGTGATATAAGCGAATATATCAATGATGTCATTCGAGGATGTTTGTAAACTGGTGGACAGAGAAAGGGCGTATAATATGAGTAGAACTTTTCAAAAAAACTAGGCATAAGGTTCTTATAAATAAGTGTAAGTTGTTGACGACTTGTTTAATCTATAGGGTTTTTAGAGGTAATGTTAAAATAATCTTAAAGCCGTAAATACAATGTACATATTAAGTCTTTATTAAAGCTCAGGAAGTTCACGTTTCACAAGACTTATTGTTTGTGTTAAAAATACTGTAAAATTTCAAGTGTACCAGCTTCTACACCTTTATACTTGTATTGGACGATACTTCTTAATTTTAAGTATACAGACTTCTACATCTTTAGTTTTGTATTCAATGAGAGTATTTAATTGCAAGTATATAAGCTGTTTAATTTAAAGAACACAAAATCCCAGATCGTCATCTTTGTATCCAACAACATTACTTAATTTCATGTAAACAGGCTCATAGATCATCATCTTTGTATTCAACAATATTACTTAATTTCATGTAAACAGGCTCATAGATCAATGAGCCTGTTTACTTGAAATTAAGTAATATTGTTGAATACAAAGATGATTGTTGAATACAAAGATGACGATCTGAAATTAAGTAATGAAATACATAATCTGCTACATTTTAGTCTCTGTGTTCAAAAATACTATCTAATCTTATGCATACAAGCCACTATATTTTGTAGATTATGACATCACATCTATAGGGATAGAACATAAAACTCACTCTGGCTGGACACTTCATGAGAACTGCACCTCACAGTACTTCGATTAATGAGTAAGATTTTTATTTCGTTCACAAATTTCAACAAGGGAGCATTGGTGACGAATGTAGCGTTCAAGTTCATCACAGAGTTATTAAATGAGACTGTGCTTGCCCAGAAAGATAGATGATTGAAATCACTCTCTAAACTAGTTTAACAACACGAGTATGTTAAATCGTTGTTTTATCGTCTTGCGCTTTTGGGAGACAGAGTGCAAACGTTGCATTGTAGGGTTGACACGACCGGAAATAATGTTCCCGTGTATTTGGCTGGTATTCACTCTTCTAAAGGAATCAAAGGATCCAACTCCTGTCACGTAAACCGAGTTACGAGCGTTTACATCTTATTTAAGCTTCAAGCAGCATTGCGTTTTAGAACTTTCAACAATGCATTAGTAGCATAGTGTTTTGACAAGTGTCTGAATTACTATGTCATTTTTCAAATGAGGGGATTTTTGTTAAATATCAGGGCTATTAAATTCACATCATATATACATCAAATAACCAACAGGTATGTGATACATATAGTGACAGATATATAAGTACATGATTCATTAAAAATAAAATTCAAGAACCTTTTTTTCAATGAACGTTTAAAAATCCGTGTATACCTTATTTTCTAAAAAACAAACAAACATAAATCTTTGTTCTAGCTTTACCATATACGGTATTAAATTACAGGTGTATAGTGCTGAGGCTGCTGAAGTGTGACTTTACAGGAAAGTTTGACGAAATATGAGGGGTCTAGCGAAAACAACAAATAAACAATTTTACAACACGTTACTGTAGGTCACTGCCAGCGAGGCATTTCAATTTTATTTATCATGATAAAATAACAAAGAGAAGTTTGTTCGAATTTTAACATACTTCACAGACAGTTGTTAATGGGAAGTCGTCGGCACCAAATGAATGATTTAGCGAATAAAATAAATCAAAGTTTGTTGAATTTTGCGCAAAGTTTCTTGAAGGCTATTTGCGCTAGCTGTCCCTAATTTAGAAGTGATAAACTAGAGGGAAAGCAGTTAGTCAACACCCCCCTACACCAACTCTTAGGCTACCCTCTACCAACAAAAAGTGGGATTAACTGAAACATTATAACGCCTCCTCGTCTGAAAGGTTTGTTGTTTGTTTGAAGTAAGCACAAAGCTGCACAATGGGCTATATGGGCTCTGCCCAAAATGGGTATCGAAACCCGATTTCTAGCGTTGTAAGTCCGCGGACATACAGCGGTGTCAATGGGGGGGCCGTCTGAAAGGGTGAGAATGTTCAGTGAAGAGGATTCTAACTCGTGCAGGTTGTAAATCGAATCGAGCGCTCTAGCCACCAAGCTATACCATTCCCTAAAAAGTCCAAGAAACAATTAATTTTTAAATGTGTCTCATCTGAATGCTATGCATGTCAAAAGTTTTAGGTAACGTTTATATGAGTATTTTATTGTAGTTTTCTTAATACTGTACCCAATTTGATTGGAAAATTCTTAAAAATTCTATTTGCTTATTATCGTTATGTCTGATGGAAAAATAGAAGTATTTTTAATCTAATTGATTGTTATCACCAAGACTGAAATAAAACCATAAAGATAAACAACGAACATCTATATAAATATATAAATAACACGCTTGCGTATGTTTGTCCGGAACTTTTCTCGCAAATGTCTTTATCAAACGCTACAGATCTTATATCGTTAGAAAGATCTTTGTTCGAGAAGTCCGGATTGTATATTGGCTTTTCAATTTAGAATCACCTTACCTGTTTTTTTGCTTTGTCAAAGTTTCCAATGTAACGAGTATGGTACACGATGACACAATATCGTTGTCATCACGTGACGACTGGCTTTGATTTAACTTTAGTTGTTTTATATTTCACACAAACAACAGTTAACCCGCGTGTAATTTCCTAAAACCAAATTAACATTGCACTAAATACAATTTCTATGGCCTTTCTCGACTTATTTAGGTCTAAAATACGCAAGCGCAGTTTGTTCAAACCATATGCCTATCACTTTGTGAACACGTATTCAGACGTTTCTGCATAATCAGCTAAGTTTGCCTTCATTACAACTTTACATTTATTTTACTTTGCAATAATTTAGCTTCAGTTCGTTTCATATACTGCTGTACACACCTTTTAGCTACATTTTTGTTTAGTACAGGTTTTATTCTTTGCTTTGTGTGTTTCTTTGTTTGAACTAGTAAAACTGTGCCATATACTGAGTGTGTATAACTGTTTCACACTCTGTACACTATTGTAAATACCATTCCTTTACTTTATTGTTTACTTTACATGTAGCTTTATTAAATAAAGTTACGTCTACGTCAGTTTGTTTGTCTGACCGTGTAAAATGTTTTGAAATAAACGAGGGTTAATCGATCTAACACATAATGCCTGCATGAAAGGTAGCATCAAATGCCATGCGTGAAAATGATAGGATAAAGACATTTCAAGCGAAGGGCATTAAAAGTACCGCAAATGTTTTGCGGGTCGCGGCTAGTGACATATATAGTATCTTAGTTCAACATATACGCCGAAAGTATTAGAAACTAAAGGCCTGAAATCTGCGATAAAAATCAAGTAAGCTGTAGATGTTTTTCTCCACATTCCTTTTAATTTGTTCATTTCGGGTTCAAAATTACAGGCGTGTAAAAATAGCATTTTTCTACTCCCACAAGCCAATGCCCAAGAGGCCTTTAATTCAATACCAAAACAATCATATCCCAGACACTCAACAAATGAGTTATTGTGTAGGTTTTATATACCACTTCTGTTTATGAAATCCAACTGTAATTACAGCCAAATTACAACCAGATAAATTGATTTATCATTTACTATGATTTCAAATATGAAACGAAAAATTTAAGTTTATTCGGGGTCTTCTAGAAAGTCATGAGATATTATTTTCCTCAGTGTAATTAAAAATACAATATAGTGTATTTATAAAATTGAGGTTGGTACTAAATAATGCAGCGTTAATTATGCAGTTACACGTTTTATTTTCACATTTTGTTATAACCATAAAAATAATGTTAATAGTCTGAAGTTTTGCTGTATTTTTTATTACTGTTTGTTCTTAAGCACAAAGCTACACAATGGGCTATCTGTACTGTGCTCACTGCGGGTATCGAAGTCGAATTTTTAGCATTATAAGCTCTCAGACTTACCGCTAAGTCACCCAGGGCCTTATTATTGTTAAAGCATGAGAATGGCAGTGTATTTGGGATTTGGATTCAAAACACCTTATGCACATAATGAGCTGAAAGGCTAGTTCAAGGACTCCTATAGTTCAAGCATAGCAGTCCTTAATTTTGACCTGCAGATCAGAAAAAAATGAAACCAATTAATAGCACCCACCGTCTGAAGCGACTATTCTTAAACAAAATAGCGGGTTCACTGAAACTTTTATAACGCACCCACATCTGAAAGTACAAGGAGTGTTTGGTACTACCACAGCTCAAACCTGGTACTATCGGATCCAATACAGTAACCGCTAGACAATACTCGTATCATACAAGTGATTAGATGTAGTAAAGGCCATGACTAATTTTGTTGTTTATTATTCAATCCAATAAAACAGAAACTAATTATTATTTAAACCAAATTTTTCTTCCTTTCTTCAAAGTGATCCAGAATTGGTTTAGTTCAGTTCTACCTTGAGTTTAGTAATTATTTATTAACAAAGCAATTTAAAAATAAGACGTGTCTATTCCGCCGTATATTTTATTTTAAATTTAAAATCATCTGCCTTCTGTTTTTCTCAAAAGATGCCGCTGTACGAAAGAAGTTGGCGACGAATACGTTATTGGAGAACGGTGAGCCGGAAGTTGAGGTAAGGTGGATTGGCAGGGTAACACACACCAAGTGGCGTAACACCGTAAAGGTAAAGTGCGTGTATCGTCACGTTGTGTATGGGGATAGTAAAACCGGGTTCAACTTGTACTGCATGTCATTTTTTGAAGATTCCGAAAGTTCGACTAACAGTTGATGCGTGATATTTATCAGTTATAGTGCAAGTACGATGTCATAATCGTTTTAAAACAACGATAAATTAAAGAGGATGTAAATCACAACACAGACGACATTGACTTTCCACGGCGTAAGTCAGCAAAAAAAGAAAAATAGAGCCATAATTCGAAGGACCCCAGTCACTCGTGCCTCGGCTCACTTAGTCAGCGATTTTGTTGCCTAAAGTTTTTGTTTGTTTGTTTTGTTTTTTCATGAGGTCAGTTCATGCTTTTTTAGGAACCTCTTCAGAAAAGGTAAGTTAGAATTCTCCGGTACTTGATTTGTGTGTGAAAGATTTATTAGAAACTAATAAATAACATTAGTAATCGTGTTAGAAGGTGCACCTACGTGTTATTTTATTAATATAAACAACCATGTAGTGAACCAAAAGATCTAATATTAAAAGCGGCACTAATGTCGATACCGTAACTTTATATAATCTTATTGTAAACACGTTAGTGTATCAAGAAAATATTGCGCTTTTCCATCATAAACGATTTAGCGCAGGTTATCCATTAGGAATCCGAGCAAGGGATGACCAGTAAAGAATAAAATCCACTCTTGCAATGAATACTAAAATACAAGTTAGTATTTGTCAATGTAGAGGATAAAAATGAGTATAGATGCATAGTAATCGACCCTTCAGAACCGGTTCTCTAAAGAAGCAATTTCAAACAGCTGTAAGTTGAAAGGGAAAATAAAACGAATAGCTTCATGGTAAAATCTGAAAGTTAGTCTGTGATCTATATACGTGTAAGACATAATCGCCACATTTGATATGATTGACCTTATATGCACTAATATACAAACACTTATGTACACACGTATAAAACTGGCGAATACCTTTCTAAACCCTACCACATTTTGTCACCAGAAATGAAAAATGACTGCATATTTGCGTGTATGCATCCCAAATGTTTGTATCTGTGAAAAACACGAATAAGGGTTGTAAACTTAATCTGCCGTATATATTGTATAATTTCCTTTGTAACATATGTAACTTTCATAAAGTGAAATTGGACAATAACAAAAACGGTTTACCCTTAAAAGATACATCCCAGGAACAAAGAAAAAATAATTAAAGTGTCAGTATAAGCCTAGAGTATCCGTTTCATCATAAGTTGTACCAAAACTTTTTTCAAGTGAAATATTTTGAAACTATACATTTCTTACGTACAATTTTATTTCTATTCTTAACGTTTTTTGTTTTGTCATATATTAACCTGATCCGTCAATTGGACCGGGCATGGCTGACTAATAAGCATACCGGAGTGCGGTTCGAATCGCCCAAGATATATTCCGCGACGTGCTACTCAACTCGTTCCACACTTTCAGTTGTGGGAGCGTTATAATAGTAACTATCAATCCCACTTTTCGATTAAGAGTGGGAAGCTGATGATAACCAGTTGCTCTACCTCTAATCAGCATTTCAAATATAGGTATAGCAATGGCTAAACCTCAGCGTTTGGCCCATGTGACGCATAGGTGTCACATATTCCTTGACCCTGTATGTACAACATATTAAAGCTCACGGGTGATTATTGTTCTTCTTTAGATTATTTTTTAACATTTATAATATGTAATCCATTGCACTTTGTGATATATCCTCATTTTTTATATCCCGTACACTTTCGTATAGTTTTTGTACCTGTTGCTAAGCTCGATATTGAACGTGTATTGTGAGTAATAGTGAGGTTTGCGATTGTGTAGCGAATTAAAGTTTGTTCTAATTTTTAATATTTTAAAGTGTACTTCGGTGATTTCCTTCATTCGATGTCCTCTGGAGGACTTTGTGGCCTTGTCACTGTATGGGCTCTTCTTTCCAGGAGTTTATCACACCTGTTAGTGAATATGTAAAAATATACTTCGCTGATTTGCTTGATTCGATGTCCTCTGGAGGACTTTGTGACCTTTGTCACTATATGGGCTCTTATTTCCAGAAGTTTATCATACCTGTTTGGGTAAAATAGATTTGAAAGAGTTCCAAATGTGGCTTTATTATAAATGGTTGCGATGATGTTTGTTTCTTTCTTTTTGCCATGCTTCTGCAAGATATAAACTTACAGCGTTATCTGTCAACAAGTTAGAACAAACACTTTATTCACTGATTTCACATTGTAGCCCAGCTCTCAGTTTAAGTGATATTTTGTTTACACATCAAATTATAAAGCTGTACAATTGGCTTTCTCTGCTATGCTCACTATAGGAAACGAACCCAGAATTTTAGAGTTATACCTCTTCAGGTTTACCATTGAATCACTGGTGGGGCTATACTGATATTCTGGATTATAACTGTATATATATACACACACACTTTGTGAAATGAAACTGCTAAACTCAATTATCTTAAAATATAATCCGTTTTTAACTTGTGCATTGTGTGATTGGTACACCAGCTCTTTTAGTGTAGAACAATAGCTAAGCAGGCCTCAGTTTCTTTAATAAACAGAATCTGTCATCATAGTTCATCATAGCGATGATATATACAATTTTCTTGTGAAAAAAGAGTTTGCCTATGAACAAACTGAGAGGAGATTAATCAAATCAGCTCAGCTTTGACTACATTAAAACAAATTGTTATATTGTTTATTGTTATATACTAAATATGTTTGGTACTAACTGTGAAAAGAAAAAAAAAAGCCATAAACAAGTTGGAAGCAGAGCCAGCCCCAGCAGGGATGGGGGGTCCAGGTGGAATAGGGCTCTTCAAAATTCACTTTGGTCTTCCCGTTCTTACTCGTTTTTTATGGATTTTTTTTTTACACACTAAAAACGGAACTTTGGGGTTATCTTTCCTGTTGTATTCCATTATAATTGTGCATATTTCTGAACTTTAAAATAGTAAGAAAAACTTTGCATGTGGGAGACGAACCTCCGAAATTAACATTTTTAGATGTTTGCATAGTTTCTTGAACATATTTGTTTATTTATTTTACTTTGAGAGAAGCTGGAGCCATGCATGGCTTTGAGCAAATCACATATTTAAATAACTAATGAAAGAACTAATAAATACACTTTATCATTTCAAATGCTTCGTCTCAAATGTTATTTTAGCTTTAAAAAACATTTAGAAAACAAAATTATAGCCTGTTTTTTCATACTACATATGCTCTATGCCGAATTAAATTTTAGTGATGTATTTTGAGCTATATTTTGAAATACTGTGAGCACTAGATGGTGGAGTGCAATAGACTCTAACTAGAAAAACAGATATGTATACTCAACATAAATTGACCTTTTTGTTAAATCTTTGAAATGTAGTTTTTAATACGATCTAAACTGTCTCATTCACTTCTTTGAGATCATCAAAATCTATATGCAAGTAGATTTTGTTCCTTATTATTGTTCTGCTTCAGATCTATAGGCGTAAATAGTTATTGTTGTGCTTCAGATCTATAGGTGTATGTAGGTATTGTTGTGCTTCAGATCTATAGGCGTAAGTAGGGGAAGGTGGAGGACCGGGGGATTCGAATGAACACGTTTACTTAAAAGTCTGGATGAAATACGTGGTTTTTAACATGAAAATATGGCACTCATTTTACCGCAAGATTAGGTGCTGTGAAATTATACTTGATTGTATCTCTGAGCACTCAAAACTTTTCACCTTCTCAGAGTTTAGATATGTTACTTCTCTGCTCTGCATAATTTACACCCCGTTTGGAAACCGTAATGTTCGGTATCAGTAAACCTTGAATGTTATCCATGAACTTGCTAATGATATTATTGAGCTTTAAGGCTAAGCTCACTAAAATAGTCATTATTTCTTTATCAAAAAAGCTGTGATGACATAGGAATTTAAAGCAATACAGATTACGCCCAAAAGCAATTTACAAAATTGAACCGCTTCATATACTTCAGGATTTTAGGTTAACTCTCGAATGTTACTTTGTACTTGACTACAAAAGTTGGACGAACCACAAGTATGTTGTTCATAGAGAATTTTCTCAGGTTTGTATTTATGATGCGATAGACAAGTGATTTTACTTTTAAAATGTAAAGATCATTTGGATCGTTTTAACTCTGATGTATCCTCTTCCATATTTGTATTTATTATTGTATTTTATTCTCTTATATATATATATATATATATATATATTCTTTATAGGACCCTGACGTTGGTGCTGTGAAGGCAGAAGATAGATATCTTCAGAAAGGAGCAACTAGAATCAACTGACTATTTAAACGTCTAGTTAAAATTAACCAAACGATCGAGATATATATATGTATACATCTGTTGTTATCGAAACGTTACCCTGAACAAGCTGATTGGCGTGATATTTTTTTGGATCTAGCTGAAATAAGTTTTGACTGAATCAAGATCTAAGAACCTTAGTAAAAAAAACAACAGAGTTGATCTATAGTATGTCATAGCGTCTCGACGTTTTCAAAATTCAGAAACCATGGAAACAGCTAGTCATGAACACAGTGTGGTTTCTAAGGTGACAGTAATAGTTATTTGCGGATTACTGTTTACAAAGGTAAGAAGCAACAACAGTTTTTATTACTCTTCCGTTTCAATAGTTAAACTAAAAAAAAAAAAAATAGGTGATAATATCTCAGGGCGTATGTCTTACTTTTTGTTTCAGTGTATTTTTTCTTTAAGTTTAACTTTAATGGCTGTTTTATAATTTCAAAATTTGCTTTAAAACTGTTAGTTGCCTAACATCTCAATAGGTTGTAGTTTTGGATGACGCAAATTAGCTTACAAGTCTAATTAATGACAATAATGCGCATCGCAAAAACAATCCCTTAAATATAATTGTAATATCAAGACAATTATGTCCAAGTAACGTAAATAGCACAATGACTTAATATCGCCAGCTAGAAATCAAATACTAGCTAAAGCGCTTCCGAATCGCCAGCTAGAAATCAAATACTAGTTAAAGCGCTTCCGAATCGCCAGCTAGAAATTAAATACTAGCTCAAGTGTTTTCGAATCGCCAGCTAGAAACTGAATACTAGCTAAAGCGCTTCCGTTCTGCTTCAGCTTCTAGTTGTTATACATACACAAAAACCCACTTGGTGTAGGTTTAAGTCAGATTTGATGATCCTGATCTTTTTTCAGTAATTATATGTTTAATGAAATAAACATATATATTTACAGACTTTCTAGGTGAACTTGGTAATGTTTTGTAGTTGTGATTCATAACAATACAGCATGACATCCATGAAAAATGACGTTTTTATTCAACGATACATGACAGGACTAGTTAACCTAATGATGTTAATAAGGAATTACGAAACCAGATCTACAGAAATGAACAAGAAAATTACAAAGCATACAGACAAGGCACCATAAAAACTCTGTAATCTGACTTTATTCGTGTAATTCACTGTTGTTTAGAAAAAACATTTTTAAATAGTTTAGGATAATAATATACTAAATTACTAGACGTATTACAGAACAAACTACGATGTAAACTTGGCTAGTGGTTTATAGACCGTAAATATGAAATAAACCGTAGTAAACTCAATTGCTGGTGCAACGAAAAACTAGATTTTCTTTTTTTTTTTTGCTAATACATTTGCAATTTAGTCTCACAATTATTCATGCTAACACAACTTAGAAACAAGACATATCATATTTTGTTTTTAATTCTGATTTGTCAATATTTAAGAATCGTGAGTCTTTGCGTTTATTTACATGTACTAAGTTTCATATACTAAAGAATATTCAGTATAAAAGTACAAATTTCATACAGTAAAAAGGATTGAGTATAAACATACAAGTTTGATACACTAAAGAGGATTGGGTATAAACATACAAGTTTCATATATTAAAGACGATAATCTCACTTGTATGCGGTATCAAAATAGGGCAGGAAGAAGATTATTTTTAGAATATATGAGTTGTTTCGTACGTGTGTTACAATTTTTATTTTATTAGTTATATGTCTATTAAGGGATAGAATCCAAGCCTGAACTACAAGGGACCGTCTTCTAATTTCTGGATATTCATTATGGTTGAAACGCATGTGAAAATCTAGTCTATTCTATTGATACAAAGACCGTGGATTTCATTTTTTGAATGCAACTGCTGTTGCAACATCGAAATTAACGCTAACCAAATAGTTTAATCAGCCCGTTTTCCCTGCTTAATCCACTAGACCGTAAATCGTAGGGAAAGGTGACAGGAAAACTGTATAAAACATATGACAAGTATGACCTCAATTATTCAGGGAAGTAGTAGGATGTTTGTGGTTGTGTCAACGTTTTGATGGTGTTCAAATTTGTCAGTAACGAAGAGCTTCTCAGGCTCTGAGTGGCACGTTGTAAAAGTCGCGATCCTGGCGGATTCTTCAGAGAGTAAATTATACTAAACCGCTTGTTCAGCAGATTGCAAGACTAGTTGTAACAACTGCTGAAAATGTACGTTGAGTGGTAGGTACTATTTGGAAAATGAAGTGGAGTGGAGTCTTGCAGAGAGTGTATTGTGGAATGCGATTACACCGTACTCTTATTGGTTTTGGTTAATAGAGAAAATATTAGAAATCAAATATTGTTAAAAAGAACTTAAAATCAAAGTACATAAAAATCCCAGTTTAGTGTAAATTCAATACTATAGCACTGCGATGTACACAAAAGAATATGCCCGAAGTTTTATTAAGCAGAGAAGACATTTTTCAGTTAAGAGTTATTAATGCGCCTTAAAAGGCCTGGACTATGTTTAATAAAAAAGGCTTAAAAAGTGATTCCACAATTTGAGTTGAAAACAAAAGAAAATAAATTTATTAAAGCATGGTAAATATACCTTGTTTCATATATAAGTAAAGAAGAATATGCCACTTTTCCTATTTATCTAAACAAATTTGATATTTTTATGTATTAAAGTTACGAGCAATTTTATTTATCACGTGTGATTTCACGATTTAAAAACAAAAAATATTGATTTCTAAAAAAATAAAAATAATGCGGAATTGGCTCAGTCACGTTTGAAAAATACACTACTAGTGATCAGAGATGGCAAGGAAGGGAGATGGCGTTCTTTAGTATAGTGTTGACTTGTTGAGAGTAGTGTCATCAGTTACAAAAGCATATTAGTTTGATATAAATTCTGTGATATGTGTTGTTTTTGTAGAGATTAACGTTATCATAGGGCATATTTTTTATTGATTTATGGTAATTACCCTTACCTACCTGCATGTGTGTTGTTTTGGTAGAGATTAACGTTATCATAGAGCACATTTTTTATTGATTTATGGTAATTACCCTTACCTACCTGCATGTGTGTTGTTTTTGTAGAGATTAACGTTATCATAGGGCACATTTTTTATTGATTTATGGTAATTACCCTTACCTACCTGCATGTGTGATGTTTTTGTAGAGATTAACGTTATCATAGGGCATATTTTTTTATTGATTTATGGTAATTACCCTTACCTACCTGCATGTGTGTTGTTTTTGTAGAGATTAACGTTATCATAGAGCACATTTTTTTATTGATTTATGGTAATTACCCTTACCTACCTGCCATGTGTGTTGTTTTTGTAGAGATGAACGTTATAATAGGGCATATTTTTTATTGATTTATGGTAATTACCCTTACCTACCTGCATATGTGTTGTTTTGGTAGAGATTAACGTTATCATAGGGCATATTTTTTATTGATTTATGGTAATTGCCCTT